AATTATAGTGGAGGTCGACTAGGCTAACTTCACCCTCAAGCTCGACAGATGGATCAATGTTGCCGTGAAGTTCATGGAGGTCGACACTCAATGAAGAAACCCAATCATCCTTCAACATTAGAACCAATGTTGCTTTGGTGCATTATCATTGTGCTTCTTCGTGAATCTATGATTATCGAACAATGCATTCCATCGTTTGCAAGTCAATCGTAGTCGGCCCATTAAAGATTTAGCTGGAACCCTAGAGAGTATCTCTTCTAACAAATCTTGTGGAAGATGGGACATTATCAATATTGTTTCTCAATTGTGAGGGAAAAGCGAGAAATGAGTTTTTCTTATATAGACAGACAAAGAGATATCTTCCCTTAGATAAACTCTTTTTCTTTTCTTTGTCAACAAAAGGAAAAACTTTAGGGATATGGTTTATATTTTCCTTCAATTTCATAAGAACATATATATCAAATACACACTTATATGACATAAAATATGGAGTTAAATCTATAGTATATTTATCCTAATTCATATAAATAAACAAAATAATCTATATAGAATAAATATACTATAATAGTATAGTTACATAAATATAAATATGGTGCTAGATTTATCAATATGGTGTTAAATTTATAAATAAATAAAATAATCTATTTAGCATAAATATACTACAATATTATAAATACATTGCTTATTTTATGTATTTATATGAATTAGCATAGATATACTATAATTAAATAGCTAATTTTATTTATTAATTTAAAATTAAATAAATCTACTATATAAATTTAATACCATATGTCCGTTTAGGCGGTGCTTAGGAGTTAAACCCCTATAGATCATAGAAATTACCGCTTTTGCAACATAACATATTATGATATTATAATAATAAAATATTATACATTTTCTTATTTATCAATCATAATATTCTATATATTTTGATGAATATAAATAAAATATAAAATTTATTGTTTATAAATTATGGGTTTTTAATATATTTTACTATATATATCTAATATAGTTTGTATTTTTGTAAAACGCTTAGTACGCCTATTGAATCGCCTAGACTCCGATTAGGCGTTCTAGGCACTAGGCATTGGATCACCGTCCGCATTAGACTTTTATATACACATTTATAACAGAGCACTAGTAGAAAAATGGTTTGGTATTCAATGGCTAGAGAGGCGATCCTCAAGCTCTTTGTTATATAACTGAATCAAACCGGTGGTATCTTGATGTGGGAGATCATGAAGCTTCTCATCTAAAAGACTCTTGTACTCATTATCTCTGTCTTCCCATTTACGCATGAACTCAACCTGCAGAACACAAAACAACCCCAACCATCATTATAAAAGAGAGACAAATGCCATTGAGGAGGAGTTACAAAATTGTGAGAGATTAGAAAAAAACCGAACTTGTTTCTGAAATGTATCGAATTCGTCTGAACTAAGAGATCCATCGCTGTTAGAGTCAAGAAGCTGCATCATCTCCTCTGCATCTTCACCTGGAGCTCCAAGCTCTTCCATCACTTCCATTAGTTCCTCTATGCTGATCATCCCGTCGCCGTTTTTGTCCAGAAGGCAAAACACTCTGTCTCTCTGGTTTATTGTTGTTTTTAGACTTTGGTGTTTGTTGGATGAGAGATCTTTGAGACGAATCGCTGCTAGATCCGCTGCTGCCATCATTATCGCCTTAAGCCGCTTCGCCTAAACATGATTTAAACAAACAACTCAATCTCCTAAGTTATCTCCTTCCCCAAAAAAAGAGAAGAGCCTTACCTCTTTTGGGTCGGTTAAGCCTCCTTTGTACAAAGAATGTGATGCTGTTCCAGCGTTAGCAGATCCATCCATATCTATTGTTCGTATTTGTATTTCCATCAACGGTCTTGTCTGATCGCTGTCGCTAACATCAACCGCCATGTGTAAACTTCTATAACCATTTTCCTTTGGCCGAGCGATGTAGTCTTTCGTTCTATGCGGAATCTCCTTCCACAGAGACCGAATAATCTCGCCTGTTCTGTAACAGGCTTTTTCGCCCACTTCAACATCGTTTTCTACATAATTTGGCATCAGAATGACCCGTAGACCAAGCACGTCATTCACTTCTTCCGGTTTACGCCCATCTCTTAGAAGCTTCTTCATCATGCTGTACCGGCTTTTATACCGACCTTTCACATAAACATCCTCTACCATTCCAGCTAAAACCAAATCAGCCTTCAAGGACTGATGAAGCTGCTCTTTGTACACATCTATCAACGGTTTAGACCCGTTCTCATGATTTCTTAACCATGAATCTAAGTATAAATACGAACACGGGAAAAGATAACGGAAAGATATGTCCTCGAGCTCAAGTGACAGGTGATTAGCCCCAACAGCATGAGCTAAAGGAGAATATATCTTCAACACTTCGAGGGAAAAAATCTGTTGACGATACCTTGGCAAATGGTCTAAATGCCTCATCTCATCAAGCTTTGAAACAAGGTCCATGATCACAGCTCTAATGTCGTAGTACGTGAGGTAGAACTTTCTCAGTGAAGCAGCGGTTTCATCGTCCAAGACATCAACTTTAAAAGGGATGTTCTTAACACGGAAAATCTCGTGAAGCAGATGAGCAGTCCCAGTACCGATTTGGTCACGAACTTCGTATATGGATATAGCATTTGCCTCCACCACTTCACTCAATATACTCGCAGAGATAACTTCTGCATCCATCTGCCATTACAATACAATGGCTCAATCTCAGAATTCCACCATTTTTGCAGTGATTTTCACAATTTCCAACACAATAATCCTCCAATTCTCACCACAAAATCAACAACAGAACCTAATCATCTAACGAAACTGTGAGGATTCA